ATAGAAAGGCCACACCCGAGATCAACCAATGAGTTGCATGGATTGCCTCTTGATAAATTGTGGCTTCCATTCTTGGAGGCTCCATTAATCTTCTGAACAAATCTTTTGATGCACCACAGGTATCCAAACTTATCTGGCTATCCCTTTTTGCACTCATTCTTCTTGTTCTTCATACTGCTTCCAATCCATTGACAAAGGTAATCACCAAATACCTTTATCTTCTTTACCTCTGAACCTTAGGCACACCTCTCTTGTCCTTATTGGCATTCTTTCACCTTCCCAAAACCTTTTACATGTCTTATCAGCTTTTTCTAGTAGCCAGTCGTTACTCTGAGACCTTCTGCAGTTCCTACTAGCATTCTTCTGCAAAATGCCCTTCTTCTAATCTAGGTGGAAGGAACTCAAACCTAGCAAGGTCATGGAAAATCTAGTGCAGGCTCTCATCAAGTCCCTTATCTAACTGCCCTATTCCACTACAGTGACCAAGGGAAGTCAGATCCTTGTGACAAAAAATGGGCCTCTACATTGTATATATCTACATGGAAAGGATTGACATCTGCCCAATGCACCTCCATCCATTTTTTTCCTGTGTAATACCNAAGGGAAGTCAGATCCTTGTGACAAAAAATGGGCCTCTACATTGTATATATCTACACGGAAAGGATTGACATCTGCCCAATGCACCTCCATCCATTTTTTTCCTGTGTAATACCACTCTATTTGTCTTCCAGTTAAATTGTTCTATGTTTATAGACTTTTTATTTGGTCTAAATTGATTCACAGTTTTTGTAAACACTCCTATAGACTTAGTGCTATCTTTAACATCTCCTGCCAATAGCTTGGATGTCTTGACTTAGCCTTCAATGATTCATGTAGAACCAATATCATGTTGCCTGGTGCGTCATCTGTGAGGAAGGACTTTATATCTTCAAAGTTTATTTGAGAACATGCCTTTGTCTTCCTTCATTTTCTCTTTTCTTTTACTGATGAATCTGCAGGCACCTTTTCTATGTCTCCTTCAGACAAATCCAGTATATGTTTGAACTNCAGTTCATTTGAGAACATGCCTTTGTCTTCCTTCATTTTCTCTTTTCTTTTACTGATGAATCTGCAGGCACCTTTTCTATGTCTCCTTTAGACAAATCCAGTATCTGTTTGAACTCAGCAATTTTTTGGTCCAAAATGTCTAGCTTAGTCTAGACCTCTTTGNAAGTTTATTTGAGAACATGCCTTTGTCTTCCTTCATTTTCTCTTTTCTTTTACTGATGAATCTGCAGGCACCTTTTCTATGTCTCCTTCAGACAAATCCAGTATATGTTTGAACTCAGCAATTTTTTGGTCCAAAATGTCTAGCTTAGTCTAGACCTCTTTGATTTCTCTTTGTTGTTCCCTTGTCCAAGTAGGGTTTTTCTTCACCATCGATAGATTGGAGCTAGAATAAGCCTCTAAGGGAATAGAATTTTGCTTGCTCTTCCAGGCGGCAAACTTCTGCAAGTCCCCCCTATTTTGGGTCCTATTGAGTGTTTGGTACCAACCCCCAGATGAAAACTTTGGGTGATGAACTTGGTGCATTTTCTAATCATAGACCTCAGAGGGATTTACCGTTCGGGATCCAACTTTTGTAATGACCTCAAATCTCTCCTTTCTTTTTTGAGATTGATGTTCTTGGTGCTCTTACCTCCTGATCTTCTGCCAAACAGTTTATTTGGTCATCTATTGTCCAACATAGTGGTTCATTTCTTATATTCTTTCTCTTCTTCCTTGGTGTTGGTGTCTAGTACCCCTTGTATCCCTCCCAATGTCTGGGAGATAATGGGGATTAGGCTGGTATCTTTCTTTGATAGGAAAAATACCTAGATCTGCACCATCAAATATTTTTCATAGCCATTGCAAATTTGCACATCCCCTTCACCTCTTGTGTTGAATTGGAGTCCATTGTCAGTAAACTCCCTCACTATTTCATCCAATGGGATTGCATCTAGTTTGGCTATCTCTTTAGCACATTTGAAGCACATAACCAGTGACTCTTCCTTTTTGGGGCCTAGCTTGCTATGGACTAGAATTCTCATTTTAGGACCAATGCCCTCTTTGCCAGCAACAGAATTGGAAACCTTCTTCTTCTCTTGCATATTAACAAAAACCATATTAGCATTTACTTCCTTTGGAAAAAAAATTTGCCTACTTTCATGGTTTCCTCCTTTTTTTGTGTGGCATATTTAAGCATCCCTTTTTGTATTAAGTCTTGCACTGAATTTCTAAAGGTAATGTAATTTTTGGTTGAGTGCTTAAATGAGTAATGCCATTTGCAATATTATTTTTCTTTTCCTATCTTTTTTTGGTGGAATACTATGTCCTTGAGACAGGACTATGAACTTTCGTTTGATCATCTCATTAAAGGGAGTAACAGCCATCGACAAGTCAAATGAATAGTGTCTAGAGGTTTGAGGTGCATCTTTTTCAAAGGTATGACTAGAAGGCATATCAACAGAATGTTCCATATCATATATAATTAGTTACTTCCCTATGCTCTGTGTCACATGTATTTCAATCTCTCTATCAAAATCTTGAAAATAAGTTTCAAACAAACTATTCGTCCTCAGTTGCTTTTTCCTAAACAACATTTCATATCTAGTAGCTTTGGCTGAGAGCTCAAATAAGTCCCTAAACTCCATTCCCTCAAATTTCTTTCTTAATTCGAAGCCTAAGCCATTTTGGGAACACTTTACCAATTCCACTTTAGGCAAGTAAACATGACATTTGTTTCTAGCCTTTTTGAACATGTCAATGTGTTGCTTTATAGATTAATTTGATTTGTGTCTCAATCTGAATAGATTTGCCATTGAGACATCTGGTTCATTTCTAAAGAACTGAGCATGAAACTGTTGTTCCATCTCTTGGCATGTTTGAATTAATTAGCAAGAAGTTAAAGAACCAAGCAAAATCAGTTCTCTTTAGTGATTGTGGGAACAATTTCATTTTCAAATTCCCATTGTTTTCAACTTCTCCACATTGGAAAGTAAATTTTCCTACATGTTATATCATGGACTGATTCTCTTCACTAGATAATATATGGAATTCTAGAATCTTATATCCCCTTGGGAACTCCTCATAATCAACCCATGGTAGGTATAGTTTCCTAATCACAAGCCCTTCTATTTTTCTTAGATCAGGACCATAAATGTCTTGAATCATTTCCAACAATAGGTTTCTATTGAAAACCATATTATGGTGGCCATTCATATGTTCACCTTAATCAAAGGGTTGCCCCTAGTCCTTGGGTTCAACTCATCTATAGGTTCTAGTGGAGGCATGGGTTGCCTCTCACGACCTCTCCTAGAAAATTCAGGGACCATTCTTGGTCTATTTCTCCCCCTAAAATTTCTCCCAGGGAAGATATCTGGGAAGTTTTTCATAGGTTCTCCATTGAACACATCATATTAATTTGATTGTGGTATGGAAGACCTGGTCTTTCGTTAGTAGGCATTAGTGGTGGTCTTTGATTTTCTATAGGAAATATCATAGGATCGGTATTTCTTTCATCCACCACTGGGTTCCTAATTGCAATATTTAACTTCTAAATAAATGGTCCTAACAGTCAGGTTGGGACATTCATTAATTCATGCATGGCATTAACTACTTCTTTCCTAATGCCATAATTTGGGTTGTGCAATATTTGTTTCAAGTTCTGCATAAACTCCTATATTTGCACACTATATTGGCCATTGGACTAGTCATTCACTGGATTTTCAAATTCCACTAGATGGGTACTTGAACTTGCTTCATGATGTCCATCAACTGACATCATTTCCACAGTTTAGTTAGTCAGAAACACAATCTTATCTTGTTTCCTTGTTCATACCATTTTCCTTGATCCAAGTTCAGAATGTTGTCCCACTAGGCATGCCAAAAGATTGTTCCTCCAAAATTTGTTGTGATCATGGAATGCCTTAATCGACAAATAATTCTCAAGCAATTGCTTGTGGATGGGTTCAATTGTCTTGTTTCAGGACTTCTTTGGATGAAGTTTTAAAACGATAAACACACAGAAAGATGAATTAATAAAAGTGAATTCCTTTATTAATCCAATCGAATGGATTTCAATTACATAAAAACTGAATTAACAATATTTGATTACAACACTAACTACTTTCTAAAACTAACTTTAACACTACTCTTAAATACCCTGATCGTGGGTCTTGTGGAAATTTGAGTTGTCTTTCCATTCCCTTCTTATCTGTCTTTTATAACCAATTCCTTCGACAGTTTCCCTATCCATCAACAGTTAATTGGCTTGTAATTCTCAAGTAGTTACTCTCATTTTTCAAACAAAGTCATGACTGATTATCTCCTGCCTTTTCTTCTGATTCTGACACGTGGTAATTCTTTTTTTAGGCTTGCAAACTACTCATGCATCAAATGTTCTTATAATTTTGTATGTTAAGTCCAAACAATATGAAATTCCCAAATTCGATTTATTATTCTAAAGAGCAATAGAGGTTGTCTCTCGGGGAGGCTAATAATCAAATGAATTTTTCTTTATCAACTCCACAATGCATCGCGACCGAGACAATGCTTTTTAGACCCCAAACTTTTGTCATTCACTCTTAACTGTTGGTCCTTTTCTTCATTATGTTAATGAAAAAATTGATCATGTAACCAATATATCAACGACTCTCGAAACGTTAGAATGTTATAATATAAACCAAACCCACATTTAGAACATGTGATTGCTTCAACTTTTAGGCTCTCTTTGGTTTCTGAATATTTGATGCTTCTCCATATTTTGATTTTTTCTGATAAATTCGACCTCTTCCATGAGAAATTATTCAGTTAAAAGAAAAAAGTAAGAATAATAAAATATCTTTGCACCAAATAAAAACATGCCAAGTACAAAAATGACCACTAAAGTGCACAAAATCATTCTGTCAATTAAGCTGTAAGGCACTTCTTTGAGTTAGGACATCCCTTCAATTATGAAAATTTAACGTTGAACTATTTGTTTTGTAGGTACTATTTGTTCACAAATACAGTGGCTACATGGAGGTTGAAGCTACAATCACCATCTCTCTTAGTTATTTCCTTTCAACAGCAACCATGATCTACGCCCAACACCTATCCCTCGGGTTTCCGGAGCTGCCAATTGATCTTAAGTATCCTGGAGTCGGGATATTTTTTATCGGAATAACTGGAAATTTTTACCACCATTACCTACTCGCAAAACTGAGGGCTAAGGGGGACAAAGAGTATAAGGTTCCCCATGGTGGTCTGTTTGGTCTGGTAATATGTCCTCACTATCTCTTTGAGATTTTAGGGTTTGTAGGAGTCTCATGCATTTCTCAAACAGCTTATTCCTTCTCCTTCACTCTTGGAACGATTTGCTACTTAATCGGGAGGAGTATTGCCACCCGAAAATGGTACATTTCCAAGTTCGAAGATTTTCCTCGGGATGTCAAGGCTCTCATTCCATACATTTTTTAGATGATGGTATAGCCGAATATCAATTCAATCTAAACTTCATAGGGATATGGATAGTTATAAAAACTTTTACATCTCTATACAAGTTAAACTTGCACGTGCTTATATGCTTTAAGATGACACTTTTGCCTTGCTAATAGAATAGATTCCAGTATTTAAATTTTACATTCCTGATGATTGATATTGTTAATGTCACTGACACAATACTGTTATACTCCACACCCTATCTTGCTCTATACAGACCGAAAAAAAGAAAGAAAAATGAAGAAGAACCATATATAAGGAGTGTGATTTTAGAAAGATGAAAAAGGCAGGTTTGTGATTTTCAGTCAGTTATTCTCTCCAATATTAGGTCACCAACATAACTACTGGATTGAAAATCTATCATTTGATAGAGGTTTGTGGAAGTTTTGAATTAAATGACACAAGAGTCAATAAATCAATAAAGGCCAATCATTTGGATATCTTGCAATCATTTGAATTTCTGCCAATCATTTGAATTTGTTCAATAAATGAGTAAAAGTTCACTTTTTAACTAACTGAAATAACAAGTGTTATTGGATGCAGTGTAAAAGAGTTAATTTGTCCAACACATCGACAGCTAATGTGAGACTTTGGACTTAAGTCCAAATTCCCAAGGGAATTACGTCTAAATTTTAGTTTAAAGGAGGTATGTACTTTGGACCGGGAAATAAAAAGAAATAGTTACCTTTATTATATGTCAATAATCGTTCGAAGAGATTTAAAATGAAAACATATGAATTGGTTCATCAAGTTTTCCTAAATTATATACATTTACGCGAATATGAGATTACTGACCTACGTACCAAAANTATACATTTACGCGAATATGAGATTATTGACCTACGTACCCAAAAAAAAAACACGAGATTAATATTCCTTTTATACTTTCAATTTTGTCCATGGATCCATATAGGGACAAATTTAGGATTTGGCCATGAAGGAGCCAAAAAGAAAAGGTGGCACAGAAATTTTATTGAGTTATTGAACAAATATTTACTTGTATAGAACCTATCAAAATCAGCCTTCATGTGATATCATTGTAAAATTAGGTTTTGTTCTAAATTCCAAAAGTCTAAAAATTGATTTACTTATTATACTAAAAGTTGATTTGGATTCATAAAATTAAAAAAAAAAAAATTTCAAATTTGATTCTTGCTTTCAATCGTGAAAATTGGTTGAGTCATAAAATTTAGAGATTGATTGTTAACATTATAAAACTAACTTCGAGAAATGTGAGGCTCCACTTATTCTCTCATGTATTGTATGATGTAAGGACTACGAGTAAAATACCATTGAATATGAATTATGACTCCATACATTGCTAATAATATTGATAAGGATAAGCAAGGAGTGGATGATTTTAAATGTGTAAGCTATTGCTATGGGATCACAATAGAAAGATAGGATTGTAGGAATGTATTTTATCTTTGTTATCTTTGTTATCAGTAAGGAGTATGTGGAAAATATCCAATAGACTCCCTTCACATTAAAAACCATATTATGGTATCGTAGCATATGGTCTCTCGAGTTCAAACTTTTTTTTTTTCTTTTCTCCATGTCAGCCGACACTTCCACCACAACCAACAATAGCGTCCCCAACTCAGCTGACACTGGCATCCCTACCTCTATCTCCCTCTCTCCATCCACTCTTTCATTATTTGCCAATACCAATATCATCTCCATACGCCTCAATTCCTGATAAACTGTTGTCTTTTGTTGAAGGGAAAATACCCAAGCAATCGGCCACCATNCCTACCTCTATCTCCCTCTCTCCATCCACTCTTTCATTATTTGCCAATACCAATATGATCTCCATACGCCTCAATTCCTGATAAACTGTTGTCTTTTGTTGAAGGGAAAATACCCAAGCAATCGGCCACCGTTTGGGAAAAAGATCAGTAGGTTCCCAATCCGAGCATGAGACTTGGTTGACCATCAATCAAACCCTTCTTTGCTGGATCAACACATTAATAGAAGAAGTTATGGCAGAAGTTGTGGGGTTGTATACGTCCCATGACATATGGAAGTTTCTCGTCGAAACATATCAACAACATTCCCAAGCCTGGATTCATTCTACTCGTCATCAGCTTAACATTAGCCAAAAGGGAATGTCAATGATTTTCGATTACCTTCGTCAACTTAAAGGAATGATACTCTTGCTGCCATTGGAGCGCCACTTTCGGATGCCGACAAGGTTCATTATGTCCTTGCCGGTCTCGAACCCGAATACAATACATTTGCTACTTAAGTTCTCGCTCGGCCTCCCTTTCCGATATATGAAGAACTTATCCTGAATCGCATTAGCCAAGAAATGCGGATCCAATCTGAAAATCACGGCAGCCTCTATATTGCCTTTGCCGCACAAAGCAGCCCTTCGCAAAAGAAGTTCTATCACAAAGGTAGAGACTCCCAAAACCCACGTCTAGAGCACTATGGTGGCTCATGGTATCCTAGCTCCAACTCTAGCCGTAATTATTGTAATAACACAGGAACAAACAACCAAAGTGATCACCAACTTAGCAATATTCAATGAATAAAATTAACACATAATTTAATTATTAAACTAAATAATGGATAAATTTGTGAAACAGTAATAACTTGATAAACTAGTTTTGACAGGAACAAATAATATATTGTGGATGCATATAATATAATAATTGACACATGTATCAAACTAAAAGCTAATAATTAAACAAATGTAATTGAACATTATATAAAATAATGAAAGATAAATTAGAAAGATCTAGCCTTTGAGGGTTTCAGAGGCATATCAAAACGTTGTCCTAAAGCGATTGAGCCTCCCTATGTGAAAGTATTAGCGTATTGCAACGGCTCCAAGATTTAACCCAAATTCAAAAGCAATAACTCCTCAAGGTTCACGCACACCAAAGAGTGGGGATGAATATGACTCTAATCGAGTTGCCCAGAAAATAGGTATAATAAAAAATAATCAAGTGTAACAGTAAACAGTAAACAATAAAAAAAAAACTGAATAAGAGATGCAAAGACTCGCAAGATTAGAGGGCGAACGAGAGATGGAGATGGCAGAGATAGTTGTTGTCAGGTTTTTCATATATATCTAAATACTTATTGATTGTGCCTTTATATAGGCTGAAGCTTTTCCCCAACCAGTGGAACAAAAAAGGTAGTTGAAATAATGTTGTTGGAGAGGAAAGAACACAATCGTTTGGTTGGTCAATTGGGTTGCAACTATTTAAAAAAAAAACAAATTTAAATTCAAGTTTCAAAGTTCAACTGTCATATCTCATGAAGAATTCCTCCACATGTACATGGTATAAAATAATTCAAAACATTAAATATCTCTTAGGAAAAAGATGAAATATGGAACCATTTTGAAAGAAAAAGAAAAAACTTAATTTATTCCTACAATCCTGCACAAGTTTTTTCTTTTAAAAACCAAATATATACAAATTATATACAAAAGAAAAATTGGGCAACAATAATACTGTGTAATAGGTATATGTGTCTTTCGAACTTGAACCTCACTTAGTGTTCACTGTTATTCTCTGAAAGATAATAGTAACCAAATGTTTGAACTAGGCCATTTGAGTCAGAGTCCAACATGTTACACACAGAGTACCGATATTAGTCATGATTCGATGGTTAGTGCTATAAAAAGTCATGCACTTGATATTGATTCTCATGAGAGTTTCTAAAGAATAACTCAAATTTCATAGTCGCAGCCTCATGACGACTCTCATTTAGGTGAAACCTCCAAGGGCATATGTGACCCCTACCCTGCAACAGTGTTTTTGCCTTGGTCTCATTCAGGGTAACAACTCTTCCTTAATGTCACACTTCAAATGCACTTCTGCCATAGGAATGAATAAGAGAATATCTCCTCCTAGTCTATGTCTAAATTTAAGTGCTAAATAAGTCACGCAGTACGAATAATTTCTACCCATTGAACTTCCTTCATGGGGCTCCCAATTGCATAAGTTGGGTTACCTTCCTAAGTGACTTCCTTGTGGGCTTAGACCCATTCCCCTGGACAGTTCTAAGACAAATTTTCTTGAAAGTCCTTTTGTTAGCTGATCAACAATATTCAATTCTGACTTCCCAAAGTCTACTGAAATTATGTTGCTACTTAACATTTTCTTCACAGATTTATATCTTACTTGCATATGGCTACTCATCTTTTTATTAGTATGAGTTTGCTTCACAAGCTCAATCATAGTTTTATTATCACAATGCAAAGATATAACAGGTATAGGCTTATTCAATAAAGGTATATCTAGTAATAAGCTTTTAATCCACTCAGCCTCGGTACATGTGGTATCCAAGGCTATAAGCTCTACCTCCATTGTACTTCTAGAAATTATAGTTTGCTTCTTAGATCCCTAAGATATGGTTGTCCCACCTAACAAGAAAACATATCCAGTAGTGGATTTTACATCTAACCCATCGGTGATCCAATTCGCATCACTAAAACCCTCAACTACACTTGGAAATCCTTTATAATGTAAAGAGTAATCTAGAGTTCCTCTAAGATATTTGAAGACCCTCTCTAAGGTAGTCCAATGTTCTTTACTTGGATTTTGTGTATATCGACTTAGTCTTCTCACAACATAAGAGATATCTAGTCTAGACTTATTAGCTAAGTATAATAAAGGTCCTATCATTTGTGAGTACCTCAATTGTGATATAGGGTCTCCTTTATTTTTCTTTTAATGTATATAAGGATCATATGGCGTCGATATTGGTTGACTATCATAAAACTTAAATTTCTTCAACATTTTCTCTATGGTGTTAGACTGACTAAGTGATATCCCACTTCCTATTTTCTCTATTTCCATTTCCAAGATTACCTTGGCTTCTCCCAAGTCTTTCATATCAAACTTCTTAGATAAGTAAGATTTAACTTCTTTAACTATTTCTAAATCAATCCCAAAAATTAGAATATCATCCACATAAAGACATAAGATCACACAACCTCCAATATTTTTCTTAGAATATAAACATTTTTCACTTTCAGTTATTCGAAAACCATATTCTAGGACTACCTTATCAAACTTATCATGCCATTGTTTAGGTGCTTGTTTCAGACCATATAAAGATTTTACCAACATGCATACCTTATGTTCTTATCCCTTTACTATAAAGCCC